ATAAAAATTGAGAGGTGTGAAGGTTGGGAAATTGAAGAAAAGGGGAGGAATACCACCATTTGATTGACTGACATTAAAGTATTTGTCCTAAGGTAAAAGATATTTTAAATAGATTAAGTAAAAATAGTGATTGACCAATGAAGGAGAGATTGCCTCTGAGATCCAAGAGTAATGCAGGGGAGGGTGAGAGAATACTGCTTCACAAAAGAGTACCTTAAACTCTGCAAAATGTAAAGTATGTACAGTGATTTCTTTGATAAAAAATTTGAAGAATAAAATATAGATATATTTTCTATTTTTGGATAGGGAAGAATGATAAAAATTAATTCAATGAAAAATTATAAAGGAAAAGTTGAATGATTCTATCTACATTAAAAATGAAAGCCTTTTTACTTTCTCCATATTCAGACATTGAATAAAATTAAAAGGCAAATGAAGAGGGAAATATACTAAAACATGACACGTGTGTGTCTCTATCTCCCATATATAGAGCACCCTTCTGCAAACCGGGGAGAGCACCCTAACACCTCAAGACTGCAGGGCCTACACAATTGCAACCAAAGACTATTTGAGAGAGTTCTAATTTTGAATTGAAATAATTATATCATCTTTCACACCAAAACATCTTTAAAAATCACGAAGACAGAAGATCAAATGCTGCTTTTTACGTAGCAGTAGTGTATTTTTTAAATACTTCTTTTGTGGAGATATTCTCTGAGTCCTTTGTAATTTAGTGACATCATGTTTAAGTTCGATGTCACTAATTGGGAGTAACACCAAACTTTGCAAGACGACATGCAGTTGGAAGGATCTGACTGAGAGGGTGCGTTTTGTCCCCTTCGTGTCTCCTGCCCTCTCTTCTCCATGACTAAGGCCCTCTCAGTTCCTCATCAGGGCTCTGGACAGTCTCTGCCTTAAAACTGACTCCACACTCCTGATGGATTTGGGATTCCACTGTGAGACTCATATTATGTCATCAACTGTGACTTTCAAGGATAAGCCAGATGTTGGGGTTTACGACCACAGAGGTTATCTTCTGACGTGAGAAAATTTGCACTTAAAAATGCACAGGTGATAATGTCGTATTTTCCATACTTTCTTGAATAGATTTGTAAGCCTTATGGACAACCCTATTGATAATATACAGTGTCAAGATGGTGATGAAATAATAGAAAGTGAACGGGATCGGCGACATTTTGATAAAGAATTTATGAAAGCCTATATTGAAGATCTTAAAGAAAGAGGTGGGTTACTCATATTTAAAATTATTTAAAATGAATGTCCAGAATTCCACTCGCTTATGCTACACATTTACTAATATAAGTCAAACTGGCAAAAAGTTAATTGGTTAGGGAGCAGGTTACTTTGTAAATTATTTTTCCATTTACCCTCCCAAAAACCAAACCAAAATGACAGGTTTCCTTAAAATATCAAATTTTCCTAGTCCATTTGATTGCTCAATATATCATAACTATTTGACAGAGAGGCTGAGAAACACACCCTTAGAATGTGAGGATTGCATTATTAACCGTACATGAGCTTTAACTAAATAGTATTGACAAAATAACATCAGAAGTTAATGGGAAAATACAATTCCATTTCAAAAATCCATTTAAATTCAACTTTTGAAAAAGTTATCTCACATAAAATCAAGGGACACTTATATAAAAAGATCCCAAGAGGAAAAACACAAGATGGAAGATTAGTGAATAGATCCATTTAGTTTTGCTTTTCCACAGGGTGGTGACAATATAGAGGAGCGTGGGAGGTCAGGTCCCTCAGGAAAGGGTGGGACATGTTTTTCCGAGAGCCAGATCCAGATTCCGGTGGCTGTTTTCAAAGGAGTCCTGAGATCCTACTGATGTGCTGGAAGGCGTAGAGTCCCTTCCTCCTGTCACATGCAGACATCCACAGGAAGAAGGCCTAAGTGGCTGTTTGGTCTTCGAATCACCTCCTCCTTTCTGGATCTGAATGCCTTGGAGTTATCACTTAATTTTTAAGTTCTTTTCCTCGGTGAGTGAGGCGTGGACCTGACAGTAATGAGACGCATTCCTGTGGGTTTAGGGAGACAGTAGCACTGGCCCCTGTGCCCCTGAAGACGAGATCTGTTGGCAGGTTCCCTCTGTCACCCTCAGGAAATGTCAGGCACAGGAGCATGCTCCTCCCTCATCAGGAGATGTCTGGAGATGATCAGTCACATTCAGAGATTCAGAGATTCAATGGTGCTAATGAAAAATTCCATTTATTTGATAAATTAAAAAACTTTTCAACTAAATTAAGAAAATTTCTATAGTTAATCTTTAATCTATTTAGGTATCCCTAATCTTTTTTGTTTTTTGTTTTTGTTCTTTTCTTTTTTTTTTTTTTTTTTT